TTCGGTTGCATGAGGAAAGGTCTGTGGCAGTTCTCTTTTATTCAATTCTCTTGCATTCCTTCTTACTTTTATTCTATTATAAAAATAATTCACATTATTACTATTATATTCACTAAACCAAATATTTTTCAAAATATATCCTCAAACAGAGTTAGTAGGTCCACTGTTTGTTTCAAGTCAACTCTCATATACAATATTCTCATAGCAATATTTACTGTGCCACTTTCATCTTTCAAAAATTTCTTACTCAAAAAACTGAAATCAGTTTACTCTTCAAATGATCAGTACTCTTCAATCATTCAATCAGATTTTGTCTAATGATTAAAACAAAAATCAAATAAGCTCAAACCAGTTTTGTACTATAACAACAATCACAACAACAACAACAAATAACTCATTACTAATGACTATAATAACAAATAACATCATGTGTACTCTAGAGTTTATAGTACATAAAATAACAGAGAGTTGGGATCACGAGCCCACCAGGAGATTATTTTGTTCAATGCATGAATCTTATAATACATTTGATTTAGTTTTAGTTATAACTTATTTTATTTTTCTTTTCAATTTTTTATATTCAAAAAATCAAAAGTATTTGCAAAATTTTTTGGGATGGTAAGCATAGCCACTATTTAGCCTTATCTAGCACATTAATATTGATTTTGAATTTTTTTTACAATATTAGTTAAATATTGATAAGTAAGCAAGCTAGTATTTAACTTTCCTGAAATAATAAAAGAGATGTTGTTTTTTTCAATAATATATATCTTGTTATATACAAATCAAAATAAAGAAATGATGTTTATCTATTGGAAAAACCCTCCCAAAAAACTATATTTAATTGAAAATCATATATTAATTTATTTGATTATTTGATTGTTTTATAATATATTTAAATAATTTTTAATTCATTATTATTGTTATAATATAAAATTTAATATTATTTATAATCAAGTAAGTATTTATTATATTTATTTAATATTTAGATAAAAAATATAACTAAATAAAAATATTTACAGTATGGGACAAAAAAACTTGTTTTTTTATTGTTTTTAAATTTTATTATATTTCAATAACTAAATAGTAAAATAAAATAAATTTTTATATTTATATATTTGAAAATATAAAGAATAGGTTTATTTAAAATAAATTTTAAATTTTGTTATTAAATTTATTATAAATTTTTAAAAAAAGAAAAAAAAATTTTTTTTAAAAAAAGTTATTTTAAATTTATTATAAAAAATCATTAATAAAAATTATAAAACTTTTTTTAATATATAAATTTGTTAATTAAAAACTAATTAAATATAAAATTGATTTTTATAAATTTTTTATAAATTAAAAAAAATTTAACAAAATTTATATTAAAACTATAGTAAACTAGTTTTTTAAAAATTTTAAATTCTTTTTAAAAAAAATTTACAAAATAAATATATATTGAATTTTAATAAAACAATTTAAATATAATAAAAAACATTTTATATTTTTTTTTGAATTTTATAATATATTTTTTTAAAAAAGTTATTATAGTATTTTTCATCTATAAATCATATATAATAAATATTAGTCAAAAATTATTTAAAGAAAAATTTTTTAACTTTTAACCAATAAATCAAACTAAAATTATTAATTAATTACTAAAAAAACTTTGATATTATATTATTTAGATTTTAAAAAAGCTATATTTAAAGTTTTATATTAATTGAATTATTATTTATTATATTATAATAATAACAAGAAACAAAAAAAATTTTTTTAAAATAAGAAAACCTTATTATTTTATTAAGTTGTAAATTTGGAAAATTATTATATAAAGAAAGTAACAAATCTCTCATAACTATTGGTTACTGAGTTTAATACTAGCTTGCCTACTTATTAACTATTTAAGTAACAAAAAAAAAACACAATTTTTTTGTTATATACTATATATATATATAATAAAGTTTTGTTTTTACAAATAGAATTCAAATTACAAATAAGATTTTTTTATATTAAATATACTTAAAAATATTTTAAAAAAATTAATTTAATAATAAAATATAAATTCAATATTAAAAAAATTTTTTAAAAAAATTTTTTTTTCTGGTAAGTAAATATTATTTTATTTATTTATTTATGATATTTATAAATACATTAGTAAAAAAAACAACATCTTTTAAATGCAAAATATATAACAAGTTAAATACTAGCCTGCCTATACATCTGTATTTAGTTAATATCGAAAAAAAAATTTAAAACAATTTTATATATATTAATTATAGTTGAGTAACATTTATACTTACTTACTCAAAATTTTTGATTAAATGTAAATAAAATAAAAAGTGAAAGAAAATTGAGAAAAAAAGGAAAAAAATTCTATGTTTGATGCTATACAAATAAAAAATGTAATAAAATTAGTTATATAATTAAGGATACCTATTTGATATATCACTTTGGTAGTTTTATTCTGTTTAAGTATATTGAGGAATATTTTTTTTTCAATTGGCCAGGCTACTGTCCAAAGTATATAGTAGTGATGATAACATGTTTTCTTGATAACTGATAGTATATAATAGTAATAGTTGATTAGTTGAATAGTTATTTAAATATAAGGTAATAAAACTAATTATATAATTAAGAATATTTATTCAGCACACTACTGGTAATTTTAATCTATTTAAGTATATTGAAGAATATGCTTTTTTGATTAACCAGATTACTGTCCAAAATATATAGTTATAATAATAACATTATTTTTTATAGTTAATAATATGTAATAATAGTAGTTAATTGGTTAAATAATTGTTTGAATATAAGATATGTTGATTGATAATAATAGAGATATTAATGTAATGGATCCTGAATAGGTGAGCCATTTCCAGGCTGTTATCCATAATAAATAAAATTGTTAATAAGATTTTTGAATACAAGTTTAGATACAATAGTTATTAATTTGCTACATTGTTGTTTTTTAACTAATGATTAATAGAACATATTTGTTGTTTTAATATTTATTGATAGAAAAAAGTCATGTAATTAAATGAATTTTTATTTTTAGTATTGTTTATATTGATTTTTGACAAGTATAATAAATATGTTTGAATATTTGATAATATATAATTGGTTAAAATAAGATATTAATCAGTTGCCAGAAGCAAACTAATTATAGTTTTTTTGAAAAAAAAATTTTGAACAAGAATTTTTGATTTTTTTATAACATAGTGAAATGTATTAAGTGATGATAGAGATTGTTCTTTATATATATCAGTAGTTTCCCAAGCCAGTAGTATAAACAAAGTTGAAGTAAGAATTTGTGTTTTAAAATAAAATATATTTCTTCAAGTCAAGAACAAGAATATTTAAAAGTATTTATATATTAATAAGAAGTATTTTAATAAGAAATACAAATAAAAAAAACCTCCAAGAAAAACTTATAAAAAAGCAATTATCATGAATTTTTCCTTATGCAATTCAAGAAAAAAACAAGTTTTCCAAGCTTGCTTACTTCTAACCAGAGGTTTCATCTCAATGCACTAGTGTACTTCTTTAGTTCCTTGAGGTTTTTGATAGTAAAAGTTAAAGAAGTGTAGAGAACTTGTAAATATTAAAAAGCAAAAGGAATATTTTTTTCTCTAATTTTGAAAGATTACTATAAAAGAAAATTTTTAAAAAAAATGTTACATACAGAAAAGAGTTTTTTTTTTTAAATATTTTTTTAAATTTAAATAAAGTTTTTATCTTCAATTTTTAATATTTATTAAAAAAAATTAGAAATTTTTATAATTTAAAACTTTAATTATTAATTCTTTTAAAATTTTCAAAACTAACAAATCATGAAATATAATATTCTAATATATACAGTATAATATTTTTAGCTTACTGCTATAAAAGATTATTTTGTATTGAATTCAATTATTAATATTTAATCCATTATATTTTTTTTACATTATAAAAATTAAAAAATATTTGTTAAGTCACTTATTAATAAAAATATATTAAGTAATGTTTTGACTTTAATAATAACAAAATTACAAACCAATAATATATTTTGCAAAATATAAAAAATTTTTTTTCTTTAATATAATATTTTTTTATAATATTAAACAAAAATAATTTCTATATAATTTAATAACAACAAAAGAAAGTGAATTGCAATTTTTATCAATAATAATATAACTATTGATAAAAAAAGAAAAACCAACAATAAAAAGAATAAAAAGAATATTAAAGAATTAAAGAAACATATTTTAAAATTTGTTTGAAAAAGAGTTTGACAAATATAAACAATTCAAATTTTTATTATATTCTCTTATAAAATTTCTTATAAGTAACAAATCAGGTAATAAAAAAAATAATAATAATAAAAGAACTTAAAATTAACTGGCTTAGAAATAAATAAATTACAATCTACAAACAGCTGAAATAGATTGTTGTTTGAACAATGCTTTTAAGCAAATTATAAATCAAATATTAAAGAAAGAGGCATGTCTGATGCTTAAAATACAGTATTATTAATCAATTTCAATAAGATCAAGATGCAAATTTTATTAATTTATATACAGTAAATAGAATTATAAAGGTGCATCTCAGATAAACTAATGTGCGACTTGCTACCTGACCAAATTTACCATTATGCATGATATTATTATACGCTATTACTATGATAACGTTTCTTGGGTATTTTTACAAAAAACATAAAAATACCATGTTATCTGTTCCTTAATAATTTATTGTATACATGCTCAATTACTCTGATTTCGTAAGACCAACAGTTGGATTCGATATAAATCTATAACAAAATTATTAACAGTGACTCGGGGAGGGACTGTGATAGTACAATTAGTTGTATTAGGAACTCCTCCAGCAATAGGTGGGTTCCAAAATACTTCTTGTACTGGAATGTTAACTTGAAAAGCGAGAAGACCTAGTCCCGTGCAAGCGGTTCCATTACCATTAACATCGAGAGTACCAAATATTTGCCAAAAATATCTTTAAATTGATTGTAAGAAGTACAGATGATGTGCAATGTGCTAACATTACCTCCTCAAAGTATACTCCTATTTGTCCAGTCGATGGTACGAGTCTGGTCTGATATTAGAAATGTTAGAAATAAAAAAACATAAATCATTGAATAATAAATATATAGACCATAATACACACAATCATACGCCGATTAAATTGATTAGTTGCCACAATTCGCGTAGGATCTTTGTCGAAAATTTTAATTGCAAATACACATCCTACGTATTGCTGTAGCATCCAACGCTCGCACTTTTCTTACAAATCCATTAGACCTTGAGATACGGCAACTTCACACATTATTCTTGCATGGGGTCTTCCTTATATAATTACTTTTATGTTATGACTAGGAAAAATTAGGAAATAAATCTAGTATGCACCGAACCAACCGTTCTAGTAATTGGAGGAATCTCATTATGTCGGGAAGTTCTTGGATTTCTTCGCGGTCGTAGCATGGGTATTCTATGTCAACGTTGTGTACGTGCCGGAACTGGAGGTGGTGGAATAATGTCCAAACCTGGAAATATAGCAGCATCAGGTGCTGATGGTAATCCCCCTCCATTTGGTTGATAATGAGCTACTATAGAATTTGGGAAAATTATAAAAGACCAAACATGTTTATTTTTCTAAAGAAATGTATTTCGCTTTTGCAAGCTACTCAAAGGAAATTTTCTTACTTGCGGAACCCATAACGAGGATCATCGACGATACCTCCGTTAGGAACCTCAAAATACTTTTTAAGCCGTGCAACAACTGATGCATGTTCGTCTGATTTCGTCTCGACTATAAATACGATTCCTTTTGGATCAATATGAAATTTATATCCACGTGTATCGTGGCGTTCTAAGAAAGTATAAATTTTTTCCACAGACAAACTCCAACCTATCTGTATAGGCAAACTATTATACGCGTCAATATTGGGCGAAACTTAATCCATCTGTATGAATGCTCACTTTTCTTTTCTCTCTTAAAGATTTATTTACACCGAAAATCTCATCATAGGAGCAGAAATCGATTCATTTTGAGGTTTAAGGTTACGCTATTAATTGAAACCGACGGATATCACGTGAAATTCGTTTATTTCCGCGGATAGTTTGTTTTAAATCGCGATTTAATAACGAATTATTTTTTGAAAGATTTAAAGTACATAATATTAATTATTGTTAATCAATTAAAAAAAAACAATCATGTGTTACACGTTCGGACGAACAGAATCCAAGAATCATAAACATAAAATGTCCTTTGCTTTGCTTTAGACAAAAAATTTGCTAGTTCAAAACAAATAAAATAACGATTATATTAAAATGACATAATTTTAACCACGCGTATTGTTTTCAGATTATAACGCGTTCCTTCTATATTTAGATCTTATGTAGGATCTATGTGATCAATAGATATCATGGGAATTTTTTTTTTCATGAGAACTTTTGGATATATAAACACTTTGGTTCGTAAAAAATTTTCCACTCTTTTTCTTAAATACTTCACAACCTTTTTTAAATACTTCAAAAACTTCACTATCTTTCTTAAATACTTTGTAACCTTTCTTAAAAACTTCACAACCTTTCTTAAATACCTTGCAACTTTTCTTTAATACTTTACATCCTTAACTTTCTAATAACACGCGACGGGTATATGAGGTCTTTATAACTCTGTAACAACATATACTGTAAATAAGTCAACGATGTCTTTAATAACACAACATGTAGCAAGTTAACGAAATCTACAAGAGCACGAGAGAAAAAAGCAAGTGTAAGTTTAATGATACCGTTTTTCAAGTTAATAGGTAATAAAGAAGGCAGGTCGAATCAAGATTTTGACTATCTATTTTTGTTGCCGAACTGGGAACCTGAGACTCCCATTTCCGAGTCGTGTAACTGTATTCGAGGGAACAACGGTAGTAAGCTATCTTCCTATCACCCACAGTATACGTGTAGGACACTGTAGAACGTTGTATCTCCAGTATCCTTCGCCATTCTTATTATGCATAGATTACAGATTACTGAGAATAGGTTGAGCTAAATTGGATAGACCGAGATAGTATACTATTCAAAGTTCTATGTGTTTAAGCTATGGTGAAGGGGGGATCTCTGATTGACGCTGTGATATCCTACTATACGTATTACAATGGCTGTAAGTTGTATCAGCAGAATCTGGGGTCCCTGTTGCGATCTCATGAGAGGCTTCATACGAGGCTTTAGGTTTTGGTTTGAGCTGGTTCCTATTTGACTTGAGAAACTAAATTATGGATTTTTTGTCTTAAACTTGCTTAATAATGTATTTTATTAACTTTTTCTAAATTTTTTGTCTTGGATTTTGATCGCGAGAAAGTAATGTGATTAGCTTTTTAATTATTTTTAATATAAAAAGCTTAGAGATTAGTCGATGTATTTAATAAATTATTATAATTATATGATAAAAAATAAAATAAAATTTCTGATATAAAATATACGTTAAAGAATTTATCTAACATAAAGTTTAGTAAAGTATAAATGCAAATGAGTACACCGTCTTCCAAAATGAAAGCAACACCTGATCGTCGATCTTTAAGTATTAAAATTTTGATCAGATCAGATCAAATCATGGTGAAATTAACAATATATACAGTGTATAGTCTAATCTATTCAGTGTATACAGTAGAATATGGTAGAATAGTGATTAAAATAATAAAAAAAATTTTATGATACAATTAATAAAAATTTACTGTTATGCAACTTTTGACATTTTTTGATAAAAATATAAAAATGCAAAAATTTACTTAAACCTTGTATAAACCAAATGTCCTCAAGACAGTTATCTATAGAGAAGAGGGCAAAGGTTATTATCTTAATAGAAGAAGGTTATAGTTTACATCAAGTTATCAAAATTGGTAACAATGTTTATTATTTCATTATATCTAGACTTAAAAATATCTTGAAACAAACAAATTAGAAAATAAACCTATTCCTGGTCATCTGCCTAAACTTACTTTATGTGAGAAACATATTATTATCCAAAAAATTCTAAAAGAAAAATACAAAACAGCCTTGGATATATATAGATCTTTGAAAAAATATGAAAAAATAAATATTAGTATTAACACAATTCAAAAAATTTTTAAGAAAAATGGATTTAAAGTTTATATATGATGCAAGAAATCTTTTTTAAATAAAACATAAAAAAATCCAATTGGAATTTGTAAAATTATATAGAATTTAAACTATAGAAAATTGAAATATAGTGGTCTGATCTGATAAAACTAAATTTCAACTTTTTGAAGTCAAAGAATACAAATATTACTAGAAAAAATCTATAGAACTTTTGAAGGATCAACATATAATTTCTACAACTAAATTTAATAAAGATAATATTAATATTTAAAGATATTTACTTATAATGATATAGGATATTTATTTAGAATTGAAGAAAATCTTAATGCAAAACTTTATAAACAAATTTTGAAAGAAGAATTAATATATTCATTAAGATATTATAATTTAGCTTTCAAAGATATTATATTTTAACATGATAATAATCCTAAACATAAGGCTAAAATAGTTTAAAGATGATTAAAAAATAAAACTATAAAACTATTTCTTGATCATCAAAATCTCCAGATTTAAATTCAATAAAAAACATTTAAAATAATGTGAAAAGAAAAATTAATAATTTAGAAATTAATATTAATAATAAAAAAACTCTTTGAAATAATTTATTAAAAATTTGAAATGAAACATTTAAAAAAACTTGTAAAAAATATATAAAAACAATGCCTAGAAAAATCAATAATATTATTAAAGCAAAAGGTGATTATACAAGATGATAATAGAAATCAAATATATTTTTATAATTATATACAGTATATAGTATATATTTTTATAATTATATACAGTATATGGTATATATTTTTTATAAATAAATAAAATTTTTTATTTTTTTTGAAAAACTAAACTGCAATATACATATGGATTTTATTGTTGAATCAATTAAGACCACAATTATCTATGCATAAACAATCTATTAACTATTGCTAATGTTAACTTATGCTATTTGTTCTTTTTACCAGAATATCAACTTATATCAAGTAGATAAATCCATATTCTGGTTTATGCTTATAATTCCCTACTTGTAAATATAAGATAAAAAAATTCTATCCAACAATGAAAAACCTTTCTAGTAGTCTCCTTTTTATCTTATGACCTAATTTTTTCTCATAATTGGATAACCAATTTGGATTGTACCAATATTAAATATGAAGATAAAGGTCCAATCAAATTTTGAAGTCTGTCGATTCAATTTATAGTACTAGCTAATTGAGTATAACCTAAATTAGGACACTAGCTAACCTGAATAAGAAGAATGATGATATAGAATTTGTTATTTCAGTTGGATTGTAGGCTTATACCAAAGTTAGACCAGAAGTCTTGTCTTGTGCAACCTTTTCTACTTCGACCTGTTTTTAGCTCACAATTATCAGAAAGACTAGAGTTTTTATCTTTATGCAGCCTAGCTTGATTTGGGAATAATTTTAATTAATTGAATATGACATGTATTAAAAACCAGTCAACCAATTATAAAGGTAATAAATTTTTGTAACCAGATAGGTTTGAACCCTAAACCTTCTCCTGGTAATTTATAGAATATCATCAATGTGCTATAGATTTATAAATCATTATAAAATTTTTTTTTATTAATTTAATAGTTATTTTAATTTATATATTATTTAAGCATACTTATATTTTATCTATAGTATAAATTTCATTATAATCTGATTTATTCTATTTAAAATTTTAACATTTAAAGATTACCAATCAGGTGTTGCATTCTTTTTGAAAGATGATGCATTTTATTTATATTTTTGATTTATTTCTTAAGTTTGTATCTTCCTCTAAAATTTTTTAGATGAGAGAAAGCTTCTATATACAATAATCAAAAGCTTTAGATATTTTTTGTTTACTTTTGTTTTGTAAATTGCTACAGTATTAAATTGCATATATCTTTTGATTAAATTGTTAATAAGTTTATTTAAAAAAAAATAATAATATGTTATATATGTGAACAAATAGAATTCACACATAATCTATATTTTTACCAAGGATTATATATATAGAATATTCTTTGCTTTGCTTCAAACAATTAATACAAACAATTCCAATACTGAACAAAATAATGGCATTCATCTACTTCTGGCTGAAACATTATTTCTTTAACTATTACCATCTTATGGAGTTATAGATAAAGTACAAAATAATTCTTCAGAAATGAATTAGAGTCATGTTATTTCTAACTGCAAAGTAGCTATCTCTAGTAATATACTCTTGTCATAAAACAACAGTAATCTTAATATATATGATATAAAAGATAGCCAAATATTTTCTAATATAAAATCAATAAATAAAGATAAAGAATAAAGATTCTTAATCACTTTTGTTTATTTAATAAAAAATAATACACTGTATATACAGTATATAAATTAGAACATTACTCTCTCTTGACAAAAGCTGTTTTTTCAGAGATCAATTACTTTTTGGAAAAAAAGAAACACAAGAAGAAAAATAAGTAATATATATATATTAATAATTTTGATTAGC